TATATACATATATATATATAATATATGTATATACGAGTTTGAATGCTGCAGGGCCTTGGCCTGTTCGAGCTCCGGGGCACGCGGCAGCTGGGTTCTTGTTCAGACTGCAATAACTACCCATAGCAAGGAAGCCATAGTTTTTATACTATAGATCGCTATTGCAGTAGGAAGGATTCCTTTTATATCTCCTATAGATCCCTGTCCCTATTATCGTAAGTTAACTACCCCCCCCCCTTTGACCGGTTTAACCAGAACCCAGGCAGGCGTGCATCAGCGGTGCCTCCGTGGAGCATGCCCTTCGGTGGTGCCAAGCTCGGTCGCCAGCGGCAGCAGTTGCTTGTTTTGTGGAGTTGGCAGAATCCTAGGTAGTATGAGGGAGACCCCTTAAAGGGGACCGGACCTTATTAAGAGGGTCTATATCCCCAAGGGTCCCCCTAATCCTAACTGCCACAGAATGGGTATCGGCTTTGTGCAGCTTTGCTCAGAGGGAAAGGAAGGGTTAATGCCACAGCTGCCGTGGCTGGCCTGATGTTTTGACGGCTGCGGTGTAACTTTCGGTCTTGAATGTGATCAGGATCTTTCTCCGGGCATGTTCTAACTGGTTTGGGGTTGCCCGGTGTGGAGTCATGACGCACCGTTGACCATGGAAACTTAATCGTTTCTGCGTGTCAGCGCTTGAAAAAGTGGCTGCTGGGAGCAATGCGTGATTTTAGGAGGCTTCGTGCTGGAAGATTTTCCAAAACCTGTCCCATGACCAAGTCTAACTAGTGCTACTTTCGTTCCTAGGCGTATCTGTGTCAGAGTGACCACTACCTTGCAGATCTCCGGGCTCAAGCTGTCTCGCCAGAACGTCCGAGTTGCGAGCGGCTACATCCTGAAGCCCTGAAAAACCAAGAGATCGTGAAGTGTGGCCGACCGTCATCCAGCCGGCCTTTGAAAGCTTCGGGGGTTGACCCAACCACGACTCCTAAGCCTGTATGGATCCTGTGCAGCTTGAACGCCGACATTCAAGCAGGTGAGGGGCTTGTTTGAGGCATCCCCAGTATCGTCCTAGCTTGCCCTGAAGCGGTTCGATCTAGCGCGAATCGTTCGAAACCTGCTGCCTCCGACAGACACGCACCAGCATGGAACGGAACCCGAAAAAGGGCTGCCACAGACAGGTGTTCCACGAAGGAGCTGGCCTGGATCGAAGAGCAGGCGTGCAGAAACTAGGGGGCGTGGATGAGGAGGACACAGTCTTACAGGTTGAGGTTGTCTCTGTTCTGTCTGTATGAGATCGGGTGGACACGGACTTTAGATCTTTGTCAATGAAATGACCGTCTTCGGAAGAGTCTCATTTACTGGGTTTAATTTTCTTGGGTTCGAGAGCCCGAAACCTGGAACATCTCAGCCCAATGTAGCAGAAACAAATCGAGAAGTGTGCCAAGTAATCCTTGCGGACCTCGGTTGTTGATGCCTTCTTTCAGGATTTAGGGTTTAGGATTTAGGGTTTAGGGTTTAGGATTTTGGGGTTTAGGGTTTAGGTTTGTGGACCTGGGTTTTTGATGCTTTCTTTCAGGAAGAGGACGAAGAGGGTCAGCCGTCGCTGGTGCTGGATGACCCGGGCACCACTCAGCTAGCCGACTATTGGCTCCATCCCTGCGATTGCTCCTGGGCTCTCATGATCGAGTTCACGCCACTAGGTTAATATCAATAAATAACCATGTTAGTACCAAGTATAACAATGACAACATTAAGTTCATGCAACTACCTTTTGTCTCCATTGTAGTTCCTTTCTGGTGCTGCTTTGTAGAATCCTAAATATGAAGTTGGTGAAACCCCAAAAAGGATCTACAACGGAGACTGCAGGTAAGGTTCACCTGCGTTCGTTCGAGTCTCAGGACGGGGTCTCGTCCAGTTTGTTTGTGCTCTTCGTGCGGTTTTGCAGGCTTGGGGATTTAGCGTCGACGTTCTTGCCGATTGCGGGTGTCGCAACCCGCGATACCCCAACAACTGCAAGTCAGATAGGTATAGGGGGTCTCACCTGGATCTGTTTGGTAGCTAACGCGCCCAATCCTGGGAAAGAACGCAAGGAACCCCACAAGAGACCTTGTAAAGCTCAAAACAAACTTCAATCCTTACGAAGCATTGTGCTCCCCTCGCAGAGCGCTCTGGCGCAGCCGACAGAAAAGATGACGAAAAAAAAGGGGTTTGTGCTTGAAAGGGCCCTACAGAAATTAAGGGACCCTTGTAATTTGAAGAAGCCCCGGGTCCCTTGAGCTGAGGCGCACCCGATGCTTGGGGACCTGAGCTGCCCGTGGATCCTCAAATGTACGAGCATCTTCCGGCGGCCTGGCGTGGAGTTTGATGACGTCGAGGTCCGAAGAGTTTGGGGCTCTTCGAAGAGTTGCAAGACGAGATCCTGTGATCTTGTGTATCTTTTGCCAGGGATTCGGCACGCAACTACCAGGACAAGGCATAAATCCGAGTGAGGTTATGGTGTGTGGGGTTGTAGTTCCGGAGAAGACACGAATGCAGGAGTTCTTTCAATCTCGTTGCCAATCGTATTTGGCTTCACCGTCTTGACTTTGCCTAACTCCTACTCGGAGGTTGCTGGGTAGTTATAAATGGGGTTATAGATAGGGTAACTATACTTATAAGCCATAGTCGGGGGCTTATAAAACCCACTTATAACTACCCATGAACCGCCAAGTAGCTCAGCTGCAGCGATTGATTTGGATGTCTGCCTTTTTGGTGACTTGTGGTCGAAGTGGTTTGGGCCGCCTCTTCGATAGCTTGAATGTACTGTTGCGAGTTTGCCGTTTAGGGTTTAGGGTTTTAGGGTTTAGGGGTTAGGGTCTTAGGAGACTCAAGATGAGGCCGCTAAGTTTTTTGTGCATAGAATCTAGGACATTTTCAGGTGGCTTGTTACCGTTAGGGGAGCCTTATAAAAGACCTATATACCTTATAGAAGCCTCATAGAAGCTCTATATACCCTAAACTCCCCACCTGTAGTTTCCTTAGGTTGCAGGTCCAGTGCTTTGGGCTGGGTTGAGGGGGTTAAGGCATGCAACAAACACCATGTTGACTAAATGCTGCTACTAAAGCTTGCATATGAGGCCCCCCTAAACCCTAAACCCCTAAACCCTAGGCCCTAAACCTTGAGGCCAACAGCAGCAACCAGTTCACCCCGACCCCCTACGTCATCGTCACGGGGCAGCTTGTTTGCCCTTCTCGGCAACTACTGGGAGGCTGGAAAGGGGCATAAGTTGAGACAAAAAGGGGCCTTCTGCGGTTCGCAAAACACCCTAAACCCCTAAACCCTAAACCCTAAAGGGTTGGTTAAGGGGCGCAAGCCAGGGCCGAGAACTGCGTCTCCCAAGCCGTGGCCCGAACCTGTCTCTCTCCGCCCCATGCGGAATAGTAGGGCCTTAGTAGGTCCTCTAAGACGCATCCTGCTGCCACATGCGGAATTCAGCTTCAGCCTGCCGCAAGGCTGGTGCCCTGCAAAAAAAAGGGTTCCGAAGTTTGGCATGCTTGCTTTTTGACCCAGCAGGCGGCAACGGCGTGCATTTCCAGTCAGAGGAGGAGGCAGGTTGAGGGTTCGTCTCTGGCTTGGGCTCCTAAATCCTCCCCACGAGCCTTTGAGCCCTGCTGCCGAGAGAATTCTGGAGCACCCGGGCCCCTTCCTCTGAGTACTACGGCCTGTAGCCCGCTTTCCCCCAATCGAGCTCCGAAGGAGTTGGAGGGGTTACAATTGCCCGGGAGGGTTCAACGCTGACCCTGAGGGGAAAGCTCGTGTAATTGAAGACCCCATCGTTTTTCAAACTCGTTTCAGCGTCGCTGGACCTCTCTCTTAAAAGGCCTTTGGGAGGAGTCAACGAGCCTTTCTGACATATTTTGGATCTGAAAATAAGAGTAGCGCGTTCTCGAGTCCTTATATAAATGTCTACAATGCACCGGCAAAGCCCTATTCTAGTTATGTAGGCCCCTGTTACAGTACCAGGGTTTGGAGATGCTTCGGGTTCACGGTGCAGTCTCCGGCGCGTGTCGGTCTTACGTTATGACGTCACTGCTTATGTTGGTTTAGGGTTCAGGGTTACTTGGAGGTTCATGGGTAGTTATAAGTGGGGTTATAAGTCCCCTAATATGGCTTATTAGTATAGTTACTCTACTTATAAGCCCATTTATAACTACCCATGAACCTCCAAGTATGGAGGCAGTCCCAACGGCGAACACCGAACCTGCGAATCCCAAGTCCTTGAATCCTTCTCAACAGACACCGGCAATCCCTAAAAAAAGCAAAGCCTTTGAGAGCAAGAAGCCATGACGCCCCGGTAAGAACCCTTGTGTCGTGGAACCCCAGATGTAACACCCTCTACTCTGCGAGCCTGAGAGGAGGAACCTTGAAACACAGTACCCTCAGATCCTATAAGAGGGACTCCTTCGAAAAGCCAACCATTGCCGTATAATCGGCTAAGAAGTCGTCCAACGCCCGATAGGCTAGACGGCTAGACCCCATGCCTTATGAACCCGATTTGGTATGAGGCCAAACACTTTAGGCTCAAAGTCCTGTAGATAAGATGAATCAAAACTTAGACAGCCAACGGGAGAGCTTTAAACCTGTTGGTCTTAGATAGTTGATCTTTGGTTGAAATTTTGAACTTGTCGTGCCGAGGTTATTGAAGAAGCGAGAAAAGTCCCTTTAGAGTTAGATCAAACACTAACCCTTTAGATTGACCCTAAACCCTAAAACCCCTAAAACCCTTAAACTCCTAAACCCTAAACCCCCAAACCCTAAACCCCCAAACCCTAAACCCTAAACCCTTAAACTCCGAAACCCTAAACCCCCAAACCCTAAACCCTCAACCCCCACACACAAAAAAGAGGGAAGAGCCTGCCAATGTCAGGTCCTGGAGCCGGCAGACTGCGAGGCCCGGTGTCGGGAGCAGACGACCTGCCTCTTCTTCTGGCCACCCGGTCACGACGGCTATGGGTTTAGGGGGGGTTTTAGGGTTTAGGGGTTCTAGGGTTTTAGGGTGTAGGGGGGTTCTAGGGTTTAGGGTTTAGGGGTTTAGGGTGTAGGCGTTTAGGGTTTCTTCTGGCCACCCGGCGGCGCTTTTTGGTTTTGGGGGTTCAGGGTTTTAGGTTTTAGCGGCTCAAGATTCAGGTTGTGGTAGCAAAATCTAGGGGGACTACACAAGCTACCGACACTTCGAGATCCATTTTTGAATCCTGATCCAATGGGTAGCTATAAATGGGCTTATAAGTAGGGTAACTATAATTATAATCCATATTAGGGGACTTATAACCCCACTTACAACTACCCATGGAACCTCCAAGTAGCATCTTCGGAAGCCGACCGGTCAGGAGTGTTCGAGAGGGCTTAATGTGAAGCTTGATTGTCAAGCACAGCAGTATGAGGATTGCCAAAAGTGCTCACAGGACGTACAGTGCAAATACGAATTTTGTTCTCCACATGTAGGGTTTCGGGTTCAGCGGTTTTAGGGTTTAGGGAATAGTTCAGCGGTTCTTGAGGGGCTTTAGGATTTCCTCAACAGGGTTTTTATGAGGGTTATACTCCTGGCGTGTTGCCGACATCGCCCTTTCTGGCCGCAACAAAGTCTGGCTCAGTGCTTGCATCCGTGGTTTGGGTGGCCGAACACAGAGAGCTAAGGACTTAGACTAGTGATTGAAAGGCGAAAACCCCGAACTGCTGAACTGCCTCGTCCCGTATGCTGACACTAATTTTATTGAAGCCCTCATACAGATACAGTTTTGTTGATTCCGCCACTTGGAGGTTCATGGGTAGTTCTACGTGGGGTGATAAGTCCCCTAGTGTGGGTTGTAAGCATAGTTACCCTACTTGCAACTCCATTTATAACTACCCCCCAAACCCTAAACCCTATAGAACCGCATAGAACCCTTAAAGGAACCTTATAACCCCATTTATAACTACCCATGAACCCCCAAGAAGAGCCTTATGGTCAAACCCTACACAGGCGCGCTCCTTTGCACCCGTTCAGCAAGAAGTTTCAACACACAAACCCTGAATAACACTTCTCTTTGATACCCTCAACCCCATAAGAACGTATATATAGAGACGCTGTATGTGCGGGCATGTATACCTATACATATATATATATATGTAGATATATACACATATACGTAGGCAGATAGATGGATAGATAGGTCGGTAGATAGTTCGGGAGATAGATAGATAGATAGATAGATAGATAGAGACATAGAGACATATAGAGACATAGAGATAGAGAGAGACAGAGAGAGAGAGAGATGTATGTATACCTATCTCTATATATATATATGTATAAACATATCTATATTATATATATATAGATATATATTATATGTATTTGTCTATTTATATCTATTTATTTACAGAATATATGAACACGTACATGTGTTCCCTTCTTTTTCCACCACGGTTTTGTTGTAAGGCATGGATCTCAACACGGCGCAGCGACCTGCCGTCTCTTGGAACTTTTCAGGTCAGCGTTTAAGATTTCGCTTCTGGTGCAGCGTCTTGGTTTCAGGGTTGATTTAGGAGCTGTAGGGTTTGGGGATTGGGTTGTGGTGCGGAGTTTCGGGTTGCTCTTGCTCTTCTACTCAGCTTGAGCCGTTGAGAGGGTTCTAAGTCGAGTGCCTATGGATTTACGATCGGGGCCTAGCAATTTGATGATGACTGATAGCGTTTGCTTTTTTTTGTGGTTGTTGTTTGTTTTTTGTTGCAGGCCTTTCTCTGTTTAATCAGTCCCATGACCCGGTCCAAGTAACAGTCCAGGTGTCCCCCACTATCTACTAAGAGCCTACGCTATACTGGTACATGGAGCCTTTGGGTCGAGGTTTTGTCGTGAAAAAGTCGCATGATAGCCTCAAGGAGTTCTGATAAGAGGAAAAGGCTCCTAGGTAGCATTAGGGAGACCCCTTAAAGGGGACCCTTCTGAACCCTACTTGTGTTAGAGGGGACCTTATTGAGAGGGTCTGTATCCCCAAGGGTCCCCCTAATCCTAACTCCCAAAGGCCACTACGACCCCAAACGTGCAGCTCTTACATCCCTCCCTATAGAGCCGTCTCAGGCTTGTTTACCGGCTGCGACAATCTTGTCCGCGAGTTCAGCCTGGAGGGAGACCTTAAGGTCGGACCCAACATCGCTGAAAAGCATCGGGTGCCTTTAGGGTTTAGGGTGTTTAGGGTTTAGGGTTTAGGGAGGGTGTCATAAGGTTTCTATGGCGGCTCTCTGCAAATTAAAGGTTCGCAGGGGTTGTAATTGTAGTGTTTCGGGAGTCAGGCTTCTTAAGGTGCAGGGCGGCAGGGTTTATTGTTTAGCAGCTGGGCGCATAGACAAACGAAGACAAGAGTCTAATATAAGAAGGTCTTGGCACCCGTGCTATAGCCGTAGGGAGATTGCGGGTTTTTCCTGATATCCTGGCACAGCTATCGAAGCTCCTTAGTAATAGTAAAAGTAATAGTAATAGTTCTACTAGTAATAACAATAGTAGTGATAGCAATTATACATTTCTTACAGAGCTCCTTATCAACCCTGGGCCGAATAGCACATGTGTCAGGTGACCGGATCTGGCGCTTGTGAGCTAAACCCCAAAGTAACCACCCCCCGACGCAGCAATCTACTCTTGTGGTAACTGGGCGCTTCAAGTTAGGATGTAGGGTCCACAGGGTTTAGCCTTTCGTATCGGAGGTGTGGATTCTGTAGTCGCGAATTTATTGCGTGCACAGGGTTTCCAACATCGCTGCCGCAAAAGAGGGGGCTGTGAAACATACTTGGAGGTTCATGGGTAGTTATACTCGTACCTTCGGACCAAGACCTAGAGCAGTGGACGAGCCCCCGAACAGCTGGGATTCTTCGGCAGTCGCAGGTAATGCCGCGCAGCCCAAGCTGCTCAGTTGCCGACGCCGCCACTTTTAGATATTGAGGCTTTTGAGTTTGAGACTGAGTGTTTTCCAGGTGCTGTGCAGGCTTGCCGCCATAGAGGTGGGCTTAGGGTTTTGAGCGGCAGCTCCGGAAACTGAATGCAGATCTTTCTGATTCCGAGGATTCGGTACAGCAAGCTACTTCATTTGTCTCTGCGCCCTGCACTCCTCCAACGAGAGCCAGTGTAGCTCTGCCGGAGAAGCCCTCTGAGCTCAGGCGAAATGTTGGGCGACCTCTCTGCGCAGGACCCAAGTTGCTGTTTCCCTTCCTTTGAGGGAACAAGAAGAGGGTGGCAGGTCTTAAGTTTACTGCTGGAGGTCAGCGGGCTGACCCACCAAAGTTTCTCTCTTTTTTGGTACATCCGCCTGAGCGACCCTAAACCCTAAGCCCATGTTACCGCAGATACCGCAGATCCATTCCAGACCAGCAGCAGCCATCCGCATGTCATCATTTGGAGACGCGTGTAGAGCTGACCGGAGTCTTCTGCCTGATGAAGGTACGGTGGTCGCCCTACACACCCCCACGGCATCAATCACCCAAGCACTGGCCCAAGACTTGAATACCATGACTCCCAAACCCAATGGACCTCAAACTCGCCAACTAACCTCCCGACTCCGGCCCCGCCAAGCAGGAGCTTCCTGTCCATGGCCTTCAGCCCAGATGGTGGCACCTCCGTAAGAGCTGCCGGGAGCGTCGGTCTCAATCTGCCGCCGAAGTCCCTTTGCCGAAGTCAGTTGTACTGTCGATATTCTAGAGGCACAGCGTGAGTACCACGCATGGCAGGAGATAACCATGTCGATAAGGGTGGTGACCTTGATGGCGATATTGAGGGTGGTCAGGAAGCTGAGGATCACCATGGGCGTGAGGTCGGGGAGAGGACTGAAACCAAAAACGCTCCTGAGAGCCCAGACTCTGGAGGCCCTCCACTCGACGTGCAGATGGTTCTATGCTCATCTATCTTAACAAAATAAATCACTTATATATATATATATATATTCATTTATTTATTGTAAGATTTTGATATAAAATTGACCCATTGCTGCACACCCCCTGTGGTTGTATGTTAAGCCTCCCGGCTGTCTAAGTCGCTGTCACCGCATTCCAGTCTCGTTCAATCCTGAACCCTAGACCCGAAAACACAATACCCTAAGCCCCTAGCCGCAGCCCAAAACGATTTTTACAATTCACGGGATAGAGCTGACTGAGCACAGTCAAAAGCTTAGTGTAGGGTCTAGAATCCATTGCGTCTAAATCCCCCTTCAATACGCCTCAATGTTGCGCGGCTCAGCAAAAGAACTCAAAGTGTTGTTGTGGCGTATCTCCAAAGACAGCTCTTATCTCAGGATCACTACAACCCTGAGTTCTAAACCCGAAACCGTGTCTTGAACACACCCAGGCCAGCAGCGCCACCGTCCGACGGAATGTTTGCGTGGTTTGAGAGCCTCGTTTGGAGATAGCAGACCGCTGGGTTCAGCATTTGAGGCATAGGCCGCAACCCGAAGCCGCAAACTGTATGTGCAAAAGGATTCATGGATCAAGTATTGTTTTGCTGTGATTGCTCGGAGTTCTGGTGCGTTGAAGGGTCCTCATGATTCTCAGAAAAAACCACGGTACCTTGCTGGAAAAGCGAGGCAGGGTGCTACTGTCTTTATATGGACTGTTCTTGCTTATGGTGCAATTAGGGCCGAAGTAGGGCTTCGGTACCCTTGCCCGGCTTATGAAAAAAACGCCATCAGGATGGGTGTACCCGAGAGGTCCCTGCATGAAAGCTCGCAAGTTGCTGTGACAACGCCGCTCTTCCTTGTCCTTGCTGCCAGTACCTGACTGCTCGTGTGCTTCTACGAAAAGTTATTGAAGACGGTCACAGGAATAATTTTGACTCCTGCCAATGCTATTGATGGGTTGAATTCGTCTTCCCCGAACAGAAAAGCAACGATACAAGATGCGAGCTCTCGACTCAGCACTACTTGCACCGAAGTCGGCATACTTTGTCGAACCGTTGGACCAAATAAAGCACAAGCAAGCTAAAATGAGTCATTGCGTTTCGGCAGAAACTGTATACACGTGTACTGATGTTGATACAGTGACTGAACATGGTAGTAGGCATACTTCGACAGGGGCTCATTGATTTCGTTAAGAGATACCGCTTGAGGTTGCGAGGTTTTGTGCATTTGCAATTGCTCGGTATTGCTCGGTGAAAAGCACAGGAGCGAGAACGCGGGATCCGTTTGGCGCAGCTCCGTGGGAGATTTTGAAGGCTACTGCAGCAAGAACAGCGTGTTCCGTCATGTCGCGGCAGGTTACGGCGCCGACCGCCCTGTGACCTACATCCAGGGATACACATGGTCCGGATTCACCTTCGGCGACGTGCTACCCCCCACGCATACCGTTTGCTCCATCACACGCTATACCGGTTCGCACAGAGGTCGCATCTTGCAATCCAAGCGTGGCAGGAATTGGTTACATGGCCACTGGGCAAGCTATGTGGGTGTCATCCACTACAACACGTGGCTCACACCGAACGAGAGGAACAAGAACGTGCAAGATTGGCTGGTGCTTTGCGGCACCAATGGCGCTACACGTGCCTTCGATGGCATGTCTTCGGGCACTCCGACCAACATTGCGACCAAAGCCCCGAAAAAGTTCACCGAAACAATACCTTTGTACGTCAACCACGGCTACGACGAAAAGTCTGATTTTGCAGTCATGGAGGTGATTACATGGGACAGGGTGTTGTCGGAGGAGGAGATGCTGGCCACTGTCGATTATTTGAAGTGGAAGTTGAGGGCAGGAGCCGTGCTTGAGGCGTCGGAGCACCTTGCCACAGAATCCCAGCACAACTTGGATGCTTGGGGCGTTCAAGACTTGAACAACATGCAGTCTGAGACGACCGAGGTCACCTTTGCCAACGGCTACAAAGCAGACCTGACAGGCTGGACACACACTCGTTACTATGCGCGAGGTTTTATCACAAACAAAAACGACGTAGCCACGGCCGTCGTGAAAGGCCTGACACCGGCAGCACAGTACCTCTACCAGATCTACATGGTCCATGAGATATCCAACTGGCAGGGTGAAGCCAAGGTATCCGTGAACCACGGAGTGCAGGCACGAGCCCAGCAGAATGGCTTCAACGAGGCCAAGTTTGCCGGAGTGGCAGTGGCATCGCCCAGAGGCGAGATCAATTTCGAGTTCCAACGCGTCTCCCCCCATTGCCAGCTCAGTAGCATCGCCATTGCAAAGGTAGGACCAAGTACCGATGCCAAGCCTGCGGACCCGCCATCGCAGGGCATGTATGCCTGGTTTAAGTGACTCGTCTGAATTGGTGAAAGCAGCAGGGGAAGTGTGTCGCAGTCGGTCCGACAAGACTTTGATGTCGTGTTCCTTGAGGGCTTCTTAGAGCAGTAGAGTTTCAGTCTTTGCACACTGCATGTTCATACTGTTGCGTCTCTTTGGTCGTCAGCTGTGCCTGTGGTAAATGCATGCAGAACAAGCGAGCCGAAGAGAACAGTCCCAGCACAGGAGCGAGAACGCGGGATCCGTTTGGCGCAGCTCCGTGGGAGATTTTGAAGGCTATTGCAGCAAGAACAGCGTGTTCCGGAAAGTGGAAGCAGGCTATGGCGCCGACCGCCCTGTCACCTTCATCGAGGGCGCCAAGGGGTCCGGCTTTACCTTCGGTGACGTGCTTCCTCCGACCCACAGCGTGTGCTCTATCTCTCGTTACGCCAGAGGTCCAGATGGATCCTCGTCCAGAGGTCGCATCTTGCAATCCAAGCGTGGCAAGAATTGGTTACATGGCCACTGGGCGAACAGAGTGGGTGTCATCCACTACGACACGTGGGTCACATCGAACGAGAGGAACCCGAACGTGCTTGATTGGTTGGTGCTTTGCGGCACCAATGGCGCTACACGTGCCTTCGATGGCATGTCTTCGGGCACTCCGACCAACATTGCGACCAAAGCCCCGAAAAAGTTCAGCGGAACAATACCTTTGTACGTCAACCACG